CGGCATCGAGACGAGGCGATGCCAACCATAGGGATAGGGATCTGTCCCAGGCCGGCGGGAAGAGATGACCACTCTAACCCCCCCCCCTCCCTTGGGGAGATCCAGCGGCGCACCCTCCCATTTTTCAGATACCCCCAAAGAGGTCAAAATGGGGCCAAAACCTTAGTTAAACTAATGAGATTGGCTTCCTCGCCCAGGCTGTTTTGGACGCCCTGACACCTCGCGGGGGGGCCCGAAAAAGTCCAGGGGAGGGGTCCTGCTGCCCGCGAAGGCGAGGCCCTCTCTGGGGAGCGCTCCGGGTGGCCGGCGTGCCCCGGCGCTCCCCGGGCGGGTACCCGTGGGGGCGCCTCGTGGGCGGTGCGCCCCGCGCCGGCGGAGGAGGCGGAGGAGGCGGAGGAGGCGGAGGAGGCGGAGGAGGTGGAGGAGGCGGAGGAGGAGGCGGAGGAGGCGGAGGAGGCGGAGGAGACGGAGGAGGAGGCGGAGGAGGCGGAGGAGGCGGAGGAGACGGAGGAGGAGGCGGAGGAGGCGGAGGAGGCGGAGGAGGAGGAGGCGGAGGAGGCGGAGGAGGCGGAGGAGGCGGAGGAGGCGGAGGAGGCGGAGGAGGAGGCGGCTCGCGCTTCCGGGGGCCCTGTCGGCCCGCAGGCACACGCCTTGGGCGCCTCGCGGGCGCGTCCCCTCGCGCGCCGGCTGGCATCTCCATAGGAGCACACGCAGCGCCCATCAGGTCCTGCACCGCCGTAGTGTCAGGTCGGGCATGTCCTCCTATGGAGGGCAGTTTTTTATACATCGGATTTTCAGAAATTTGTGATTTTTCATACATGCATGATTGATTTGTGAATATATGTATGCACGAACTCATCGTTGTTATCAATACTAAATCCCTGCATTTGTAATACATGATCCGCACGCGGAGCATGTATTAAAAACGGCACTGTATGGAGGGCAGAAAATGCGAGGCGGGGATTTATCCATATCCACCGCCTGGGATCCGACGTCCTGGTGCCCCAGCGGGCGGTGGACATGGATACATTTCGGCCCCCGAGGACCCGAATATGTCCATATCCACCGCCTGCCGAGGCTCCGAAAACTGACCCTCCAGGCGGTGGATATGGATAAATTCCCGCCTCGGAGAAAAGCCACCCCGACAATGACCGCCCCGACACGCGAGATCTTCAGCAAAAACGCGCCCAAAGAAGGAATCGAACAGGGAGAGGCTGTTCAATAAACGCCCAAGGCCGTTCAGTAAACGCCGATTGTCCGGTCCGGGTGGTTTTTCCTCCATTGATTCTAGAGGCGGGCTTAGGAAGAAACATTCAAAATCGTCAAACCATAAGCAAAAGTAGCCAACATAGCCCGAAAATCGTCCCCTGACTACTTTTGCTACAACTCTTGAACAGTTCCTCCTGTAGAGGGACATGCCCGATTCAAACATCGAGTACACCACATAGCCTGCATTACATGTATTGCACCATGTAACCTGCAGCCCACGGATCGCAGGGATTGAATTGCACCACGCGAGTTACACCACAAACGTTTCGCAGCAATGCACAGAACAACATGCAACAAGCAGCTTGCACTACACAGCTTGCGACGTATTGACTGCACGACTTAGAGGTTCTCCTTGCCAAAAAAAGATTGGTCCCACCCCCTTCCCGACACCAGACTTATCAACACCGCCACGACCACGACCACGCCGCCACGCGCGCGTGTCCAAATCCAGTCAAAAACCATCGTTTGAAATCGCACAGATTGTTCAACGAAAAATCCGCGCGTGCACTTCCCCACCATCGCCCTCTTGAGCGCCACCGCACCACCGCCGTCACCGTCACCGTTGATTGCCGACACTGTCGACATCATCAATCAATCACCCTCATCACAGACACATGGACATCATCACCATCATCATCAATCGCATCAATATCATCATCATCATCGTTCGCCACCAGCATCGGCGCCGTCATGGGGCTTGCCGTCGTCATCGTCACCATCGCTACCACCATCGCACTATCAGCATCGATGCCACCATTGCCGGCTTCCTCATGATACCGCGCCCGCCCGAACCACCGACCCGCACTGAGGTACCCGCCCGCCAGCGCGGCATTTTGAGACGCGTTGGGAAGCCCCTATCGACAAGCGCCATCGCGGCCGCGTCGGCGGTGCCAAACAAGCTGGCATCTCTACGCACGAGCCTGCGTGCGTTAGCGCAGCCGCAGAGACGCACCAGCCATGGCCAAGCAGTCACTGCAATCGCGCCCGCTTTGGTTGTGCAAAACAACTTGCGGGTCGGAGGGGTTTCCCCCACCACAACGCAACGAAGATCATGAACTGCACCCGCAGGCACTGCAAATCACGACAGCAATGCTGTGCCGCAGCGTGAGATGGACGGGCAACAGGTCGCTGTCGAACCGCATGCGTCCGCATGCAGAAAACCCGCAACACAAAAAAGTCAAGACCAGCACCGAAATGCGAACTGCATGCAGAAGGAAAACAGGCCCACGAAACAACTTGCGGGTTGGAAAGTAGGATGGTTGCGCGGCCAGTGAAGTTGACGACTTCAAATTCTGCAGGGTTGACTCTGTAAAAAAATATATCCGCCACCCTGTTTTCGGGCACGGATAGGGCGTGTCCTCAGGTCCCTTATTATAGTCCTCAGCCCCCTGGGTTAAGGATTCCCAAGGACCCAGACCCCAGAGGCCCCCAAGACGGTCCGAGAGGACCCCGAGTCACCGAATGATCGGTCCAAGACGCACAAGATGGCCTCCAGACGGCCTAAGAGGCCTCCAAGACGCCCCAAGAGACCTCCAAGAGGCCTCCCAAGAAGCTCCCAAGAGGCAAGAATCATTACATAAGTGTTTGCAAGACTCTGGCGTTCTCGCCTGTTCGGCTTCCGGACGCTCCAAGACGGCCCAAGAGGCGCCCAAGATCGCCGCAATACGGCCCAAAACAACCCCAACAGGGCACTAAAACGGCCCAAGAGGACACCAAGACGGCTTCAGAGGCTCCAAAACTGCCCCCAAGAGGCCCCCGAAAGCGTTCCGAAGAGACTCCTAGGAGCATCCCGGAGGACTCCGACCCACATCTAGGCACGGCGGCGGAAGGGGCGGAAGGCCATTAGATAGATTCTACCCCCCCCGAATTGCCAGACCCCCTCTGGGACACTGCAGAATACATGTGGTTATGCCTCGCCGTTCATTTTCCGTACGAAATCATTACATCTCAGGCAGTCCCCTCATCGCCCCCGTCATCCCTGCCAAGCAAGACTATGCGCGCACACTCGTTCATCGCAAAAGATTACGTTCGGGAACCAATTTGAATAAAGAGAGCTTCGGACATTCATCGCAAACCTTGCACATAGTTTGCCCGCGCGCACTTTCTGAAATCAAGTGAAAGACCACACGATATTATAAAAAGCGTCCAGAAACCGCATTATCGTCTCATCGCGCGGTGCATCCGCGTTGATCCAACATGCGCGCGAACCCGCATGAAATAACACCACGCTGCAAGCCACACGCGCGCGCCGCCACTCGAGCGTGTCGAAATCAGTCAAAAACCACGTGGGTTGGAAGCGTTGCAAAATAGAGCACTTCAAAAACGCACGGACACAACATGTCTGCCATCAAAAAGCTTGCCAGGGTTCTTGGGTTTCAGCTCGCACGCAGCCTCAGCAAAACCCTTATCAGCGCCGCCGCATCACGTCAGCGCCATCGACCATCGCGACCACTGTCGCCATCACCAGTCCATCACATTCATCACCGACGCATGGACATCATCAGTGGCATGGGCGTTACCTGCGGTGGCGCCGTCATTGGCTTTGCCGTCGCCATCGTCATCGTCGCCATCACCATCGCTACTATCATCATCGTTGCCGCCGTTGCCGACGTCACCATGGCACCGCGCCCGCCCGAGCCACCGACCCCGCACTGAACCGCCCGCGCGCCAGCGCGGCCTTTGACACGCGGTGGGAGGTTCCCATCGGTGAGCACCACCGCGGCCGCATCGGCTGCGCCAAACCAGCTGGCCGCTCTGCGCGGGAGCTTGCGCTCGCCGGCGCGGCCGCAGAGATGCGCCAGCCATGGCCAAGCAAGCATCGCAATCGCCGCCGCACGGGCTGTACAGACCAAGTTGCAAGAGGGAGGGTGGGATGATTGATCGAGCAGTGGAGTCGACAATTCCAAGTTCTTCATGCTAAATTGCACCACGTAGATTGGACCTCGAATGTTCTATTTCAGAAGGAACATTGGATCGAGCCTCCTCTCAACCCCGCAATTATCGGGCCACCCTTGGACACTGCAGTTTACAGCCCCGTGACAGGAGCTTCTTGACGAAAACCTCATCACGTAAACTTACGAGCGGCGACCATCTCCGTATCCGCGCCCTCGCGGTCTGGACTCCGGGGCGCGGTCCCGCGGATACGCAGTCGCACGGATACGTTTCGTGCGGGGCATCAACAAAAGAACGCCCCATATCCGCAAGGTCGCGGACCAGGTGCCCGGCCTGAGAGACTGCGGATATGCATACTGATTTCGCCAACGAGAATCTGGCGGGACTGGATGTAGCCAGAACCCTGGGCAATGGAAACCGGTCCGTGTTTGGGCCCCGATGCCCTTGGAAATGTCCAGACACTAGAAAACCAAGTCTGCCGTGATCAGCTGGGGATTCGTCGCACGACGGCAACTCCCGTTAATGGAATGGGGTGGGTGGGCGCCCCACGGCACACATCACTAAACTAGAGCGGGCGCGGAGTCGGAGCCCGCCAGGCAGGCGGCCAGGGAGCCCAGGGACGCGCACCCGAGGACGCCCTTTGCAGCGAGACCCCTTCTGCTGCCACTCCCACCCTCCTCCTCCTCCTCCTCCTCCTCCTCCTCCTCCTCCTCCTCTCCTCCTCCTCCACCTCCTCCTCCTCCTCCTCCTCCTCCTCCTCCTCCTCCTCCTCCTCCTCCTCCTCCTCCCCACATCCTCCTCCCACCAAGGCCCGACCCGCCAGACGCCAGAAGTCGCACCTCCAACTGCACAGGGGCTCTGCGCGAAGGGCCCCGGCGCCGCTCCCGCCAGCGGCGGCACCGCCAGCGGCACCTCGCGGACAATGCAGGGGAAAGCGAAGCACGGGAGGGGGATGATGATGATGATGATGATGATGATGATGATGATGATGATGATGATGATGATGATGATGATGATGATGATGATGATGATGATGATGACGATGACGATGACGATGACGGTGTTGATGATTTCGATTGTCAACTGATGACGATGATGGTGATGGTGATGACGACAACGATGATGATGTTTATGATGGTGATGGTGGTGGCGATGATCATGATGATGTAGATGATGATGATGATGATGATGATGATGATGATGATGATGACGATGAGGAGGAGGAGGAGGACGAGGAGGAAGAGGGGGAGGAGGAGGAAAAAGAGGAGAAGGAGAAGGACGACGACGAAGAGGAGAGGGAGGAAGGAGGGTGGGCTACGGGCTACGGGTTACCAGCGTTCACAAGTCCGCGTGGGACGCGCCGCTCGTCTACTCCTCGCTCTGAAAACGGTCGGTTGTGCCAGGCGAGATACGTCTCAAGGTGCGCCTGACAGGATTCACTGATGAAGGCCACGTCTAAAAATCTCTTTCTCCCACCTCCATTCCTGGAAACGTCGTTGACGCCATTGCCATACGGAGTGCTTCGCCGCAAAATCACACAACTGGAACGCCGGTGGCCCGCTGGATGTCCGAAGCGCCCTGCCTGACCAACTTGCCAGCCCATTCAAACTTTGCTCAGCGCGAGGACGCGACCCACGATTCAAACTAATATCGCCCCCTTGTTCTGGGGACCTGGTGCTCACATCACTCGCAGCATTCGCCCACTTCTTCGGCATGGAACGTCTTAATGCGCAAAATTGTTCTGATCATGCGCCGCTGCACTCCCGAGATCTGCCGCTCCTGGTGTGCAGTCAGATTCCAAGCTCCATACCCCGTGATAAAGTTGCGTTGGCAGTCATGCCGAGAAATTGCAACTCCCACTTAGAAGAGCCCGCCTATGCGTGAAAATACCACGGTACTTATGGAAGCCCGCTCACGCCGCGTTGGTCACGCGGTTGCCGAGTTCCTTCTCGAGCGAAGTGTCCCCAGCGAAGCTTGCGCCCAGCATCTGGCAATCCTCGCTCCCCCCAGCGCACGTCACAACCTTCCCGTTTAAGGTGATCTACATAGAGATACCGTCTGAAGCCACTGTCCACCACGTGCAATCTGCTACTGGCACAGTCCACCCAGCCATCCTGAATTTTGCCGGGAAGGCCCGCGCCCGTTTTTTTTCAATATGTCGCAGGGCGCGCCCAGGAGCCAGAACTTATCAGCAATCCACAGCACACACTGTAGTACAATCGCTACAAACTTAGATCCCCAAGTGTTGTTTCGCGCACTGTGCGTTGCAAGCCTCGGCGCCGGTACCCCCAACAAAATTTTATCAGGGGCATCGGGCCCGCCTTGACACAAGGACCGAACGCATGAAATAACATCTCTACGAACGCCCCTGGCCACCACCGTCGACTTCAGCCTGCGAATCTCCTGGAATATTGCTGCAACCGCGACCTTTTTTCCCAGCCCTTCTCTAAAAAGTCTCTTCGCGCCGATGAAATGGTTCACAGCGTCGAATGCCTTGAACAAGTCGCCGTCGCATGTCGGGGGCCAGCAACACGTCGCTCCATTCCGCACGCTTCTCGACGAGGTTGCGAAGCATGAAAATTACATCCCACGCCTGGCGCCCAGGGCGGAAAGCGACTTGGCTGGGATCGTCACACACACACACACACAAAAAAAAAAAAACAAAAAAAAAACGTCTAGCCCCATCCGATAAACAATGTACCCCTTCATCAGCAAGCTTGGCTCAAGCGATCGCATCTGAAGACGGGGGCATCCATGGCGTCTTACCGGCACACGTCGGCGTGGAGGTTCCGTTCACGGCCGCGCAGGAGGAGCTGAAGAAAAAGTTGGGGCTCGCGCAGGAGCAACGCGCCACCATCGTGTCCTTCGAATTTCACGCAGACGACGAGCGCGACTACGAGGAGTGCTCGGCTGGCCAGCTCTTTCGCCCCCGCTACCTACCGCAGGGAATCTGGCTGCAGGTCCCCGGCTTCAAAGAGTCTCCGATCTACCAGGAGGTCGCCGAACTGCTGCGACAGGGCGCCGATGGCACCGACGACGACGGCGAGGCCGAGGCGCGGGCGAGGAGCTTACTCATGTTCAGGCCCAGCGAGCAGGAGCTCACGTGGCAGAGCCCGGGGACGCACACTGTGCGCCGCTCGGGGTTCACCCTGACGCACGCGTCCCACTTGACCTCCACGCTGTCGCAGGGCCAGACGCTGCGCAAGGGCGTCACCATCGACTGCGCGAGGAACGAAGACGTTGGCCGCACGGGCATGTCGGACGAGCAGTGGTGGCTGCACCTCTACGTCATGTTCTCCCGCGCCACTTGCATGCGGAGCATGCTGATCCTGCGGCCGTCCTCGCGCGAGTTTCTGCAGCGCGGGCCGCCGGTGTCCTTGCGGGAGGCGCTCAAAAAGTTCGATGACGAAGACCTCCAGGGATGAGGCCGAGCAGCTCGCCGCGGAGCTTGGCTTCGTGCTGCCTCCCGCCTGAGCGCCGCGGCGCGCAGCTAGAGGCCCGCGGGGTTGTCCCAACGGTCTGGCTCGCGGGGTTGTCCCGACGGCCTGGCCTAGCGCCCCAGCGGCCCGCGGGGTTGTCCCAAAGGCATGGCCCGTGGGGCTGCCCCAAAGGCTTCGCGATCTAGCCGTTGGCGAACGCGCGCGCTTTGGCCGAGGCGGCGACGGCGCCGAGGAAAATCGACTTGATTGCCCCGACCAGGGGGAAGGAGAGGTGCACATAGAGAAGCGGCAGGAGGAGGGTGAGGAGGGGGGAAGGGGTTGAGGGGGGCCGATGGTGAGGACGAGCTGGAGAAGGAGGAGGAGTAGGAGGAGGAGGAGGAGTAGGTGGAGGGGGACAGATAGCAGGAGGAGGAGGAGGAGAGAGCCGAGATCGGGGCGAGAGGAGGATGTCCGCTAGGGCGACGGGGGAAGGGTTAAGGGCAATCTAAAAAGATTATCATGCGGGGTCTTACCGTCGGAGTGATTATTTTGTCTTTTCCGTTGACAAGCAGCCCTGTCCTTTCTCACACCTTCATCAACACAGGATGTTGGTGAGCGGCTGCAAGTTCGAGGGATGTGTGGGGAATCAATTGTTTATGCAGAGTGCACTGCACGAGGACGTCATCCCACGCAGCCGCTGACTGTCCGACCACTGGTTGAGGAGTCGTAGTTTGAACGCTTCTGCCAAGACGTCAATCATATCCTCGTCCAGGTTGGCCAACATCTCTGAAACACGGTTGCCTTCAGCGCACGTTTTGCTGTGAGCGAAAGTGTAGGTAGCCCTGCCAAGCAGGTAAGCGTCAAACTTCTGTGACATGTCCAACACGTCAGCGCGTCGTGCTTTGTCAATCCAATACAGCATTCCTTCGCGAACTGATCTTTCGCACAACTCCTGGAAACATGACGCGTGCATGCGGCTCTTCTCCTCTGCGCGCACAGCTAGCTCGCTGGTATTCGCGTCTTCGATGAAAAGGCACCGCAGCCCGCTTGAAGGGTCGAACTGGGCGCGCCTTCAATATGGCATCGTCCATGTGCGCATCGACCCCCAGCACTGCGAGTCGATGGCGCTGCTTGGTGGTTCGGTTCGCCAGCAGAGCCCGGGCCAGGGGGTCTCGCTCGACTCGCAGAGCCCGATGGATGCCGTCGAGATGTTGTTTCGCTCGTGGAATGTCTGCGTCGTCGCGCCGGGCCACGCGTTGACCCTGGCCGCAATTGGCAGCCTCAGAGGCGATGACACGAGGAATCCCAGTTAAAGTCGGAACCTCCTCCGAAAAATCAAGCGTCCGCAACTGCGAGAGATTCACGGTCCGACGGTGTGCGACTTGATTGTGACGATCTTCACTAAGAATGTAGCTTCACTTGATGCCGCGAGTGACCCATGAGCGCAACAAGTTCGAAGTTCTCTTTGGAGTAGAGTATCCCAATTAGGATACCCACCACACACAAAGGATATACCTCAAACCACGCTTGTCGACGTCCCACATCACGGAGCGGCCGTCAAAACTGCGCAGGTCCCGCGTGGAAATCAAGAACAATATAGCTTCGACCATTACTGAGGCCTCCCAAGTGTTGCCAGAAAAAACGCTGCGTTCCGACATGCATGCTTTGTGTTGTGTGGCTCCGTCGGTCTGCACGGATGCTACCAGCCTCGAACGTCTCCCTATCCCTAAGATTGACACGCCAAAAGGCGATGACAATCTTAGGGATTCGCCCTCAAAAAATGAGGGAATCCCTAAGATTGGCATCGTGATGAGGAGGTGCCCAGCATAGGGATAGGGATATGTTCCAGGCTGGTAATGATGAGGAGGAGGAGGAGGAGGAGGAGGAGGAGGGTTTCTGTCGGCATCCACTGCCAAAGAACCGTCAGGCAGGCAAATTAGCACCGGGAATGACACTCCTGCGACGTGGCCCGTTTCCTCTTGCGCTGGAGTCCTTCGCCGAGCTCGGCCCAGAACATCCGCTTGCGCGGGCACTGCGAGAGGACTGGCACCTGTCCACGGGGCCCCCATCTGCCCGAGCAGGCGCACGGGAGGAGGATCGGGCCTGACGGTGATCCCCCAGGCCACGCAGCTGACCTCCCGACGCGTGGGAGAAGCACAGCTGGCAGAAGCAAGGCAGACTGCCATCGCTGCAGTCCGCAGCGGTGCACCTGTGCCCGAGGTCGCGCAGCCTCTTGTGGCGGCACCTCGAGCCTGCGCGCACGCCTCCCAGGCGGAGGCTTGAGAAGGGAGCCGGAGCCCTCGAGGCACTCGCCTCGCTGCAAGAACTTGCCAGCCCAGCCCCGGGAGCGCCCGGGAACCCGATCCCGGGGAGGCCCGGGAGGCGCGGGACGCTCCCGAGGCACCCCGTCCAGGTTGGTCCCGGGCCAGAGGCCCGCGGAGGTGGGCGGCAGGGGTGGCGCCAGCCCCGGGGACTGAGACCAGAAGGACGGGTCTTCCATCAAGCTGGGCTTAGGTCGGGCATGCCCCGCTGCTGGGGGAGTTGGAGGACACATGAAAAATAGCCAGAAAATCTTCAAAAATAGCCCGAAATTGCTCAAACAATCGTCCCTAGACTATGTTTTACTATTTTTGAATATTCTGCAGAGGGACACGCCCGACTTAATCGTTCCAGCCTTCACCGCCGCGTCCGCACGATATTTGCCACGAGTTTCCAGCCGATCTTCCCAAGCCAGGCCGGGATCTTCTTCACGACGAGCCTTCGCGTTGGAGGTCGCATGAACAAGGCACTGCATCGCAAGGCCGCTATACGGTCTGTTCAACCAGACAGAAAGTCAGCCGTCTCTTCGAGAATGCGCGAGGCGGCAGCAGGAGCGGCACCTTCAGCGGCCTCACTCGTCTGCGGATATACGCCACAGACGGTGCCAGACATCTGAACCAACGTCTGGCCGAGCTGGTTGGCCGTCTGGCCAACGTCTCAAAGGACGGGTGGGGGAACAAGCCCGCTTCGCAGAGGACCTCACATCCAGGAACCGCGCCAGCCTCGAGCTCCTGACGCACACGGCTCAGCAGCCGCTCGGTCTTGGTGTGTTCAGACCGCTCTGCTTCCCGGGCAGGGCAATTCCACGAGCGGTGAATGATAGCATCGCCGTCGGCTCCACATTGGGAGAACAGGTCTCCAGCGCTATACCCCAGTGCATCAACACGGCTAAGCGGCCAGAGACCTTGACACACCAACGCCCTAATAGCTCCTTCTTGCCTGGGAGTGAAACGCTTCGATTTCAAGGAAGTGCACAGAACATCAAAACAAAGCCTGGGACCGTGACCATGCCCACTTCCCGCCTCACACTCAAGAGCTATGAAAATCGCAACATTCCTAGCCTTTTGAGGAGAGCAAGAGAGATGAGGAGAGGAATATCGATCTCAAGGTCGTCGGTCAAAATGTAGGCTTCCCATGCGCCAGCCTCGCCACCGGGAGTTACATGGCCCCCAGAGGCCCTTCGACTGATCTCCACGTACGGGGCGGCCTATTCCAGATCGCCCCCCCAGCCTACTCGAAGCTGGACCCGAGTCAAAGCGAAGTCGGCGAGGCGCATGCAGAGGAGCCAGACTTCTTTGTGGTAACGGAGAAGAGGAGCAACTGATCCACACATGCTGGATCTTCCTCCGCACGAGCGCGAATGCATAAAGGGCGGCCCCCACAAGCCAGCTTCATGGTGAAGGCGGCCAGACGTCTGACCTGCAGAAATCCGCCGTCGGACATGCCATTCACGTCCGCACCGTACTGAAGAGCTGGCAACGGACCAGCACAAAGCACCTCCGTGGTGCGCCTGCCGAGGAGTGCCTCGCCGACGTACGAGCGCCCTCGTGCGACGCGGGGCCGAAAGCAGGCGCGCAGGAGCCTTGGCACGGCGCCCTCGGACGCGTCGAGGGGTGCAGACGACCTCCCGGAGGTCCCCCCTCGCTGCTGCTGCGCAACGCCGTCGCGCGGCGATTCCAACTCCACCGACGCGCGCCGCTCGCGTGCCCACGGCGCGGGCCCACGCACAACGCGGCGGCGGTACCCCGGGACGCCGCCGAGGGTGGGTTACCGGATGGGGGGGGAGAGGTACGAGAGCATGCACTGGCACGCAAACCATGATAGCAGGAGAGGGGTAGAGGCTCCACTGGCTCCTCCCTCCTCCTCCTCCTCCTCCTCCTCCTCCTCGAGGCAGGGACGTCCAGTGCCCCGAAACTTGGCTGGCCATCGGGCTGCCCGTGGGAACCTCATCTTTGCCTTCGACCGCCCCGCCCTTCCTCAAAAAGTGCGGCCCTCCTGCCCACGCCTGGTGGGCCTCCCTTGGCCGGCCACCGGCCCTCCGCGTCTCGCGCACACCTCTGGGCAGGAGCTCCCCTCGTGGAGACGTTCCGCGGACGTCCGAGCTCCGAGTTCCGAGTTTCCCCCCCCCCCCCCCCCCACCCACCACCACCCCCTCGCTTCCCTCTGCCCCTGCCCGCCCCCCCCCCCTCCTGCAGGAGCAAAAGAAAAACGCCACAGGCATGAACTCTCGGAGGTCCGCGCAGATTTCTCTGATCGGCGCGGGGCCCCCCCTCCAGGGCGCGCTCCCAGCGACGGTGGCGGCGCCGGAGTCCGCGCCAGAATCCAGCGTCCATCCACGAGATCCGCGGGCGCATCTAAAAGTGTTCATAGAGTGCTTCCGGTTCGACCACCCCTGCCCCAGTGACTCTCCCCCCCCCTTTTCCCCCCCTCCTCCTGGGCACTGCGATCCTTTCTCTACACTCCGCACCCCATTCCTTCCTCCGCAAGGAAACGCGATCATTATCACTATTTGTCGTCGCCTTCCTTTTCTTATTATCAATGCTATTGTTAGTATTCAAAGTATGTATGCTACTTTTAATCTAATAGTATCATTAGTACGAATACGGTCATTAGCACTAGTACTAGTATTACGCTTCCTAGTATCAGTATCACTATGCATATGTGTAGTATCAGTAGCGTTGCTACTAGTATTGGTAATAATACTGTTGATGTTGCTTGTTGTTGTTATTGTTGTTGGTGGTGGTGTTGATAGTACTCGTGCTAGTAAGATTCTGAATAGTATGAGCATCAGTAATGTGTTTTTTATGCGCATGTAAAGGTGATGAAGATTTGTATCAACAGTGTCGTTAGCCTGAGAAACATTGGTACCAACACTATCTTACTTTTGTGATGATTATTATTACGGGTTTTCATCCTACCCCTCTTCTTCCATTCCCAGGTCTGGTCATCTCCCCCCTCCCAGGCGTCGGCCCAGGTGCACCGCTGGCTCGGCGGCCGCCCAGTCGGGAGCGCTCGACTGGCCTGGCACGGGGCGGGCGGCGGCAGTAACGCTACCGAACGAACGGGATGGACGGGGGACGTCGCAGACTGAGGCTCGAGCACTGCAATGTTCGGGCGTTCTCCGTTTCATGTTTGGCCTCCAGGACTTAAGACGTTCTTTAAAACGCTGGGGGCGTGTTGTTTCCCCGCTTTCAAAATCGACGATGCTTTCTGTTTGGGGGGCAACTTGTTTTACGTGTTGGGATTGCAGTCTCGCCGTGTTCGGTTCGTTTTGCGATCCCTTGTTGTAAATGTTTAACTGCCGTGTTGTTCGGTTACCCTATTATGATAATTGTTTGCTGTTGTGGGTTGCAGTGCTTGCTCCTGTTCTGGATTGCCGTTTTTTCCGCTCGGTGTGGGGCCCAACGGGTGTCGTGGTTGTTATGGTTGGGGTTGCCGTGTGTTTTTGTGCTGGTCGACCGCAGAGCGAGAAGTTGAAAAAGCGGGGGAAGCCAATAAAAAAACGCTCCCAGCGCTTGAAAGCACAGTTGAGCTGCAGGAAGCACCTCGTCGCCCCAGCCGGATCCCCCGCGAAACAAATCCTGACCAGAACCGAGCGCCGGGCGACGATGTCTGCAGGGCGTAGGGAGAACGGAAAGGCGGCACCAGCACCACCAAGGCAAGGAGATGCGAGGAGCAAGGGGGGTCTCCCTGGTGGCTGAAGGGGCCCTGGGACACACAAATAAAAACACACACACACCAATAAAATGATTCCCCTGATGTTCCTATACTTTTTAAGGGGTTTCTGTCTTCCCCCCCACTTCCCATATTTTCCTATATCTTCCTGGGAATCGACGATTAATTGCGTCTGTATGTTTGTTCCCCTCCTGAATCCCCAGCCCCCAGCTCGGGGAGGCGTCGTGGACCTTCTCGCTGGAGGTGGCCCCCTGTTGGTGTCGGTGTCGGTGCTCCTCCCTCCGAGGGAGTGCCCAGGCCCCGTCGCGTCTTTTCTTGTGTACAGGGCACTTTTTAATACATAGGATGTTTAGAAATATTGGATTTAATACATGATTCATTTATGCATTAATGTATGCATGAACTCATCGTTGTTTTTAGTACTAAATCCCTGCATTGTTAATTCATGATCCGCACGCGGAGCATGTATTAAAAACGGCACTGCATACATGAATACACAAAAATGTTTGTCAATTTCGGCCTCCAGAGAAGCCGTCGTCGGGCCCCAAGGACCGTCCAACCAAAACGGGCCCCAGGGACCGTCCAACAAAAGCTCAGAAGGAGGAACTTGTCCGGGACTTCCAGGGACACCGCATGGTATATACAACAAAAAAACGCCCCCGAGGCCTACAAGACTACAAGAGGCCCCCGAAGAGCCCCGCAACGGACATTGAGGACGAGGAGGACAACTCGGCAGCAGCCAATGCACGCACGGAACGACGGGAGGCGGCGGCATGCTCTGCGAAGACCACCACTAGCACGCACTCCTCCACGACACATGCCATGCCCGCCGTCTCACGGAGGGGTTGTGATCTCCTGTGCCAAATTATTCGCGCTAAAGCCAAACAGCTCCTGGGCTACAATGCGCTCTGCCTGGCTACGCCCACATAGCTGCCCAACTCCTGCCTGACGCATCAATTTCGCACCCATTTCCCCAAAGCACCCCAGATACCCCCAATGCGAAGACGCCAATCTGAAGCCTTGGCGCACAGCATTCTGAATATAATTTTCCACTGCCGTCGAAAAAGAGTCCTTAGTCGATCCGCCTGCTACGCAGAATACGGCAATTGCTCCTCTATCGAATGCCCCACTGAGCACCTCGAACACTCGACGGCCCGCTTGCAGACCGAATGACTCGCTTGCCGATGCTGTCAGTTCAGTTTCCATCTGCGCACTGGTACCCGGGGGTGGCCTCGTCTCGAGAAACCATCGTAGCTGGTCAGCATGAGCCTTATTCGCTGCCTTGGCAAATGATGCCATTGCACGTTCAAAACAGCTCTGCGAATCATCCATCCCCTTGTTCGCGCCATGGCACCTGCAGCAGAGCCAATGGCACCGCCTCTTTCATCTGGCGCACACGGGGGACCTCGGCCAGGCGGTCGAACCGTGCGCTGAACAGCATGCTGCCGGACAGTTGTGATGGCCTCCCGATTTCTTCCGAGAAGCCGAGATTGTTTCTTCAGCCGAATGCACTCGATACCCCTCTGTCTGAATGCGTCGATGTTCTGCTGGATGGCCTCGGCGTCCATATTCTCCCACTGGCTGAGCACAATTCAGCTTGAAAAAAATATCCTCCGGCCGCAAATTCTTCTGCCTCTGGAATGTCTCGAACGGCTTCGACATGTCCTCGCCGAGGCCCACGTCTACAGCGTAATTTTCCACAAAAGCAACCGTGCTCACGTGCTCCCACAGCTGCACGTTGTCGTACAGGTGGGACATCGCTCTTGCACGCTCCGAGGGAAAAGAGCCCGGCGAGCATGCCCTCTCCCACGTGTAGTCCTCTGCGCACCTGGACGCCATAGCCCGCTTGGAACATCCGCCCATGTACTCCCCACGTTCGCCTCTGCACCCGCAAATGGTGCGCCACGCCTGCGGTTGCGCTTTCTCCTCAAATCCGCCAGTGTGTCGAGGCACGAAGTGGAGCGTTCTCAAGTCCCTTCGAGTTCTCTGACAGAGAACTCGAAGGGAATTCAACACAGTGTGTTGAATACGCACAAGCGCTCCCGCGCGGTCTCGGGGGGTGGTCGCGTCTCTCTTCCAGGGGCGGGACAGTCATGTCAAACATGACCTCATCTGGCATCGGGGACAGCCCCGGAGCTCTATCAGGCGCCTTTTCGGCCGTCTTGGAGGCCCTGGAGGCCAGCCAAAGAGGCCAACATCTTCTAAATCCATTCGGGTTTTGTATGATTTCAGCAGTAGCACCTACTGTCTTCAGAGCGCACAGGACTGCCCAAGAGGCCCCCAAGATCGCCCAAAGACGGCCCAAGAGACCCCAAGACGGCCCAAAGGCGGCCCAGGAGACCTCCAAGACGCCCGAGATGGCCTCCGAAACGGCCCTGAAGCGCCCCAAGAGGGCCCCAAGTCGGCCCAGAGAGGCTCGGCAGCGCACAGGTTGAGCGCCGAGGCCTGGCCCGTGCCCGGCCGCATCTTCACGCAGTCGCAGCTGACCCTGTGCATCGCAGCGAGGGCGCGCATGCCGGCCGGGCACATGCGGCCGAACAGCTCCACAGCGAACGGCGCGACGGGAGGGCCGTAAGCAGTGGGAGAGTCTGTCCTTTTCGCGGAGGCGCGCAGCCACGCCAAGCAGCAGGTGCAAGCCCTCCCTCCCTCCCTCCCTCCTTCCTCCTCCTCCTCCTCCTCCTCCTCCTCCTCCTCCTCCCTCGCTCCTCCTCCCTCCTCCTCCTCCTCCTTTCCTCCTTCCTCTCCTCCTCCCCCTCCCCATTCCCTCATCCACCCCTTCCCCCTCCCCTTCCTCAATTTTCTCAATATGAATACACTCTCCACCATCCCTCGATGGCGATGACGGTGGAACGTTAGCGGGCACCCCTCCGCGTGCTGTTTTATACACACAGGGAGATTTCCCTGGACCGGTTTGGGTGTTCCCGTTTGGGTTTCTTTACATCGTTCAAAATCGCTGATATCGCTGCCCAGCCTGGCCGGTTCTCTTTTTTCGGGCTTTTCCGCTCGTTTCCGAATTATATCGTCGTGCTCCCCCGCTTTGCAGCGTGACATGGGTGGTGGGCCTCATTTTCGGCGATCGGTTTTGTTTTTTTGTTTTGATTTTTGCCTCCGTCGTTCAGGATGGCGTTCTCGCCCCAGCGCGGGCCTCTTCTCGCGCGCCCATCCGCCCGCCACCACCGCCCCGCGCCCCGCCCCGCCCACTGCCACTTCCACCCATCAACGCACGCACGCACGCACGCACGCACGCGCACCACCACCGCGCACCGCCACCACCACCCCACTACCCCACCCACCACCGCCACGCTACACCGCGTCACACCACATCACACGCGCGCGCACACAGACACACACGCACGCACGCACGCACGCACGCACGCACGCACGCACGCACGCACGCACGCACGCACGCACGCACGCACGCACGCACGCACGCACGCACACACACACACACACACACACACACACACACACACACACACACACACACTCACGCACGCACGCACGCACGCACGCACGCACGCACGCACGCACCACACACACCACACACATACACCACCAACACCACCGCCACCACCGCCACCACCACCACCACCACCACCACCGCCATCGCGCACGCATGCACCTGGCCCACCACCAAACTACCAAGACGCCACACCACGTCACACCACAGCACACGCGCACCCACACACACACACACACACACACACACACACCACCACACACACCACCCCACCACCACCTCCCGCACCACCACCAAACCACCACACCACCATCCACCACCACCACCACCTCCACCCAACCCACAACCACGCACACACGCACGCACGCGCGCGCACCTCCACCCACTTACGCACGCGCGCGCGGAGCACAGGTCCGCATACGACACGCGTCGCGGATAGAGAAATCAGCGCTAATGGTTTAAGGGATGGGAGGGAGGGTAGACGTCAGTATGACGACGTGCGCACACAGCTTGCCCCTCCTCCTCCTCCGCAATTACTCAATGTGAAAATACTCTCCCTCTTCCCCTGATGGCGTCCGGGTGATGGCCGCGCACCCTCCGCGTATTGTTTTTTACACACAGGATTTCCGGGAAATCCCGGGACACGACTCTCGCTGAGGCGCCGGCGTCATTTTCCCAAAATGCTGCTCTCGTTGATGCGCCGGCTTCATTTCTGCTCCCGAATCGTTCCGAATCGTGCTCCCGCTGCAGCTTGGGCCTCATTTTCGGATCGGTGTTTGGCCTCCGTCGTTCAGGATGGCGTTCTCGCCCCAGCGCGGGCCTTTTCTCGCGCGCCCATCCGCCCGCCACCACCGCGCCGCACCGCCACCACCACCACCACCACCACCACCACCACCACCACCACCCTTTCCACCACCACCACCACCACCACCACCAGCACCACCACCACCACCACCACCACCACCACCACCACCACCACCACCACCACCACCACCACCACCACGACACCCACGCACACACGCACGCACGCACGCACGTGCACCACCACCCACTACGCACGCGCGCGCGGAGCCACAGGTCCGCTACGACACGCGTCCGCGGATAGAGGAAATCAGCGCCATGGTAAGGGATGGGAGGGAGGGGTAGGACGTCAGATATGACGCGAGCGCACCTAGCTTGCCCCTCACCCCCTCCCCCTCTCCCCCCCCTCTCGACTCCCCCTCTCGCCTCCCCCCTCCCCCCCTCCCCCACTCCCCCCCTCCCTCCCTCCTTCCTGCAGCCTTCCTCCCTGCGCGAGGGGGCTTTGGGGGGTCGGGGCACCGCCCGCGCGGCCGAGCCGCCGGGGCCTGCCGCGGGCGGCGGCGGCGGCGGTGGAAACGCGCCCGCGGCCGCAGCGGGCCACGCTGGGGCGGGCGGCGCGCACGGCGCCGAGCTCAGGATGCTCGCCTCGGGAGGGGCGGCCCAACCTCGAGCCTCCTCTGAAAGTTGCTCCTCCTCCTCCTCCTCCTCCTCCTACCTCCTCCTCCTCTCCGCCGCCTCCTCCTCCTCCTCCTCCTCCGCTCTCCGCCTCCTCCGCCTCCCTCCTCCTCCTCCACAACCTCCTCTCAGCCTCCCCTCCTCCTCCGCCTCCTCCTCCTCTCCTCCTCCTCCTCCTCCTGCCTCCTCTCCCCTCCTCCTCCTCCTTCCTCCTCCTCCTCCTCCTCCTCCTCCTCCTCCTCCTCCTCCTCCTCCTCTCCACCTGCCTCCTCCTCCTCGTTTGCCTCCTCCTCCTCCTCCGTCTCCTCCTCCGCCTCCTCCTCCTCCGCTTCCTCCTCCTCCGCCTCCTCCTCCGCCTCCTCCTCTTCCTCCTCCTAGAAATGCGCCTAGGTATGCCCATATAGGGGATGCGATTGTTGATGGGCAAGTGTTCGGGATATTATCCTGGATAGTCTCTGTTAGTATCGAGCAGGGGCCTCATATCCAATCCCGGGGATCTCGGGGAAGTAAGCCTTCCCGCCATGGCTTTAAGTATGCCCGTTAAGCGAAGGAGGCGCAACGAACGTGCATACTAGCCGGCCGAGAGGAGGAGGAGGAGAAGGCCGGCCGCGTGCGCGCGATCTGCTAGCTGTACGCAAAGAGCCGCGTACAGTAGGTCAGCTAATGGGTGCCATGTGAACGGCTTGGTCAGCATAAACGATGAAAAGAGGCAAGGTGAACGTTGCCAATAACTCTCCTCCGCCTCCTCCTCTTCCTCCTAGAAATGCGCCTAGGTATGCCCATATAGGGGATGCGATTGTTGATGGGCAAGTGTTCGGGATATTATCCTGGATAGTCTCTGTTAATATCCAGCAGGGGCCTCATATCCAATCCTGGGGATCTCGGGGAGGTAAGCCTTCCCGCCATGGCTTTAAGTATGTCCGTTAAGCGAAGGAGGTACAACTATACGTGTGTACTAGCTGGCCGAGAGGAGGAGGAGGCCGGCCGCGCGCGCGATAGCTGCACGCAAATAGCCGCTAACAATAGATTAGTAAATGGGTGCCAGCCATGTGACGGGATGGTCTGCATAAACGATGTCAAGAGGCGAGGTGAACGTTCGCAAGCATTCTCCTCCTCCTCCTCCTCCTCCTCCTCCTCCTCCCCCTCCTCCTCCTGCTCCTCGAGCCTCGAGCCTCGAGCCTCGAGCCTCGAGCCTCGATCCTCGGGGGCACAATGCCGCGGCCCCTCTCCCGCTGAGCAGCGAAGCCGGGCCAGGGGGCAGAGTCAGGCCGGGACGCAGCGGGGATCTCTGAGAGCCAACGGTCCTGAGGGACGTCTACATAGGAGGCCGGTGGGGGTGTGCCGAGGGGTGTCTGTCTGTGGGCACGATCTGTCTGAGGGGTGTGCCGACGTGGCGGGGCGGGGTACGAGGACGCGTGCGAACTCCCCCTCCTGGGAAGCGGCATGTCGAGCTCTCCCTGTGGAGGCTCGATCCGCGTGAGGGGAGTGCCGAAATGTGCAGGGGGGCGGCTGTGCGAACGCGATCGCTGGCGCCGCAGGTGGAGCTCCCCAGGGGGGCACAGTCTGCGTGAAGGGTGTGCCGAAGTGTGCTGGGAAGCGTTATGGATGCAGTGGAGGCCAGTCCACAAGAAACCTTCCACAGGAAACCCAACCCTGAGACCCCAGGACGTCCGTTGGCTCTTGGTGCGGGATCGTCACGCCTTCCACAGCAAAACCACCGACACCCGAGAGACCCGGTGCACCCTGGAGGCAAGCAGGGTGTTTCTTGGCATGGGCCTCCACTGCATCTGGGGGAACCAAGAAAACGGCGTAAACATAAACTTTCGGCGCTCCGCGCGGACTCCTTGGATCTGCGCTGGACACGCCCCCCCTGGCGCGCGGAGCGCGCCAGAGGCGGCGCCAGAGGCGCCGCCGCGGGGGGCCCCAGCGCGGATCCAAGAAATGCGCGCGGAGCGCCAAAAGTTTACGCCCGCGCCGTTTGTGTTCCTCCTCGAGTCCCAGAGGGCGTCCTCGGGCGCCACGGCCGTTCCACGGCGCTCCGGGGCGCTCCGAGAGCCGTCCGGGATTCTCTGGGAAGTCTTGTTCCTGTCCTGGCCCCGCCCGACACTCTGGGGGAAGCAGCTCCTGGGAGATCTTGGCAGGGACGATCGAGGGCTACTCGGCCCGACTGGGGGGCCCCTGAAGCTGGAGCAGGCCGGACGAGCAAGCCCGGGGCGAAGCCGAGGCTTCAGCGAGATTAGGCCAGGAGAGCGAGATCAAACCCGATTAGCCCAGGCCGAGCGGGATTGCAAGCAGCATGAATCGGGCCTGTGCCCGGACGCTCGCCTCCGGGTGGCCGAGAGAGTCAACATCGGATCGGGAGGGCGGACTGTGCGGGCTAGATTTCTATCCATGTCCCGTGCGTCTTGGAGTTTCGGGCCTCCCTTCCTCCGATGGTGCCGTGGATATGGACAGAACAGTTTCGCCCCCAGAGGTCAGATGTCTAGCCAGGTCCACTGCGCCGCGGTCCGTGGGCGCCCCTTCCCAGAAGAGTCCAAGACGCAGTGGCTGTGGACACAGATCGTGCCCGCAGGATCGG